GACTGACCAGTCACAGAGCGGGGCCGAGCTCCGTCACAATAGTGCCCCCAACTGACCAGTCACAGAGCGAGGGCGAGCTCCGTCACAATAGTGCCCCCGACTGACCAGTCACAGTGTGGGAGTGAGCTCTGTTACAACAGTGCCCCTGACTGACCAGTCACAGAGCGGGAGTGAGCTCTGTCACAACAGTGCCCCTGACTGACCAGTCACAGTGCGGGAGTGAGCTCTGTCACAACAGTGCCCCTGACTGACCAGTCACAGAGCGGGAGTGAGCTCTGTCACAACAGTGCCCCCGACTGACCAGTCACAGTGCGGGGGCGAGCTCCGTCACAATAGTGCCCCTGACTGACCAGTCACAGTGCGGGGGCGAGCTCCGTCACAATAGTGCCCCTGACTGACCAGTCACAGTGCGGGAGTGAGCTCCGTCACAATAGTGCCCCCGACTGACCAGTCACAGAGCGAGGGCGAGCTCCGTCACAACAGTGCCCCTGACTGACCCGTCTCTGTGCAGAAATGAGGCTCACCTGTCTGTCGGGGTGCACGGCCGCAGCTATGTGCTGGGTCCTGGGATCTCGGGGATAATCGATGTTGCCCACACTCCTGTACATGTCCACCTCACAGCTGGGGAACACTGTGCCTGGGAGAGCAGGGGGGCTGCGTTAGGGCCCAGCAGGATGTACTTTCTTCTGTTTTAGTGTTTGAATGACTGAAGGAGAAAGAAGCATCTTCCCCAACACAAATGAATTTCAGATCAATTTTGCAATACACAAGGTCTCAAACTTGAATACAGTAGTGTGCTTGATTGGCATGTGTACTCAATTCCGAAACAGCTGTAATGTATGTAACTAACATACATTAATCTCTCCATCTGTGTTCTCAAAGATGGTTTTCCTAACTCCCACATCGGAAAGACTACAGAGACTAATATTATCCTGCAGCTAGGATCACACCTTTCCCCTTCTCTCAATGAAGGACTCCTTTTCTTCTAAATTCTCTCTATTCATTGATGGTTTCATTTCACACCTCTCTACACCTCTCCTGACTTCACACCTCCTGATTGTCCACTCTGTCTGTTCCCTGCTCCTGCCCCTCTCTCCTCCTCTCTCCCAGCTTTTCTTCTCCCGCTACACTGCCCTGCTTCACTCCATATTCCCCGATTTAATTTTTCCCAGTTTCCAATTCTGACAGTATGTGTGCACAGTCTCTGATTATCTCGACCGGTTTACAAAAGAGTCCCTCATACCTGTAGGAATCATATTGATTTTTGTCTTGAAATCCACATCAGGGGCTGAAAATGTTTTTGGTTGATGATCGGGTGGAGTCCCAATGTGGGGTGTAGAGTGCAGGAAGCCGACTCCCACCCTCAGACCCGAGTGTGCCTGGACACGGTGCTGGACCGAGGTGAGACCCAGGCACCAGCCACGCTGTCTGCCCACACAGCTTCCTCAGCCTGGGGTCACACGACTGAACTGACCTGAGAGCCACTGACCAGGTCACCAGACCAGAGAGCCACTGACCAGGTCACCAGGGGCTTAGTGAACTGACCAGAGAGCCGCTGACCAGGTCACCAGACCAGAGAGCCACTGACCAGGTCACCAGGGGCTTAGTGAACTGACCAGAGAGCCACTGACCAGGTCACCAGGGGCTTAGTGAACTGACCAGAGAGCCACTGTCAGTGACTCTCTGGTCAGGTCATTGGACCAGGTCATTGGAGAGTTAGTGAACTGGCCAGGGGCTCAGTGGTCAGTGAATAGGTGTGCAGGGGCCAGTGACGTGACCCCGAGTGCCACTCTCAGAGTGGTTAGTCAATGTCCTGATCCGGTCACTAAGAGCAAGGGGCCAGACCTCTCTCCCTGAGCTGTGGGCACATGTGGACGTTTCTCCTGATCCCGTCACTAACAAGGCGCAGGGCAGCCTGCCTCAGGTGTGTACTGCACACCCCAAAAGTGGTAGATCTGTATGGAGCTCCAGAAGGTGTCCCATTGAAAATTTAAGGAGACCAACTGGAGACACAGCAGGAAGACACGATTCCTGCCACTGCTAGACACTATACTGGTCAGCAGAGTCTTTTCTGAACAGTTAAGGATGCCTGGTTGTCAAGGGCACGTTTGCTTGGCACCTGAACAGTGTCACCTCCTTTCTCTCACCTGTGTTGAAGAGTTCAATGAAGTCTAGCAGGTGAGTGATCCCCTCTTTCATCTGAATGAAGATGTCAGCCCTGAGCACTCCTTGGGGTTGGGGCCCTACTTCTATCGCTGAAAGAGGGGAAGAGAGAGGGGTTAATACAGTCCAGACACACAGACTGGACACTCCAGTACATTAACACTGCACTGAGAGAGAGGGGTTAATACAGCACAGACACACTGACTGGACACTCCAGTGCATTAACACTGCACTGAGAGAGAGGGGTTAATACAGTACAG